CACGAAAAATTTTCGGGAATGGCATACCAATTACGCAATAGTTCGTTTTCTGCAATCCTCACTTGTAATCGCCTATATTTTTTTCGAAATCAATTTATAACAGTAAGTTAGCAAGTAACTGTAGCCAACATGAGCTGCACAACTTCATAAATCAAGCAGAAATGACGAAAAGGGTGACACAGACGAAGTATATTACGTAAGAATGTAGCCAAATGAATGCTGCGCTCTTCTCGAGAAAATTTCGCAAAAGCTCATTTGTTACGTCATAATATATTTTTTTGTAGCCATATTACATGGGAGGACAAAAGAAGTTTAAACAAATAACGGATTGTTAACAAACGATAATGATTAAACAAACACCTAGTTTCGTCAGATAATTCGGAGTCTTAAAACTTTTTATCTGAAGAAGAATGATCTCGTTTCCGAGACCACGCTCGCGTGCCGAATTTGGCACGCGTGCCAGGGGTTGCCCACCCTTTCCTAGGGCCTATTGATTTGATTCATTGAAACTATGTAAAACTATGTAAAACATGCTATTTTATTATATTCATCATATATATTGTATGTGAAGCAGCACCTTTTTTGGTACAAAATTCAACTATATTTGTTAGTGATACAAGTCACATATATCTGTTGAGATACCCAAAGAATAAAAGACACAAAAAGAATAACGACAGTTAGAAAAATTTGTGAAAAAAAATGTTCCGTTCGAAGTAAATTATTAACCTACATTTTGGTGGACTTCATGTTTTTTTCCTTGTTGTAAAGCAAAATTATATAAATGCCTTCAATTATATATTAATCACAAAGTCTGTCACAGGGTGTATCTAATCAATTTGAAGCTGTTGGGAATATCCTTATCCATTTCCTTTGTTTACTTGGGGACTCATTCTGCAAGATTTTTTACGATTATAACGCATTCCTTTTTTATTAATTTGAATTTAAAATATAACCGCACCAAAAGCTGACTGTGATTTCCACAAGTTTCACTGCTAAAGACTACCAGCGGAATAATGTGCGTCCGATTTTCGAACCTTTTCCTTAAAACTTAAAACTAGATTTTTAACTGATTTTAATACATACTGAATAAAACACTATTAGTAAAGACCATTTTTAATAATCTATATTACATTTATATTAAACACAGATTTAAAATATGTCAAACAAATCAATACTACACAATTGTATTTTTATCCTACATGTGAAAACGTTAAGTTAAAACAGGAGAGACATATAGTCAATGTGGCATTTATATCTTTGACAAAAAGGATAAAAACGTAGGTTCTTTTTGCTCGCTCATTAATCGATAGAAACAAAATAAAAGTTACAATATTATAATAAGAATTATAATGTTCGTACAATAATACATTATTTGAATATATTTTTCTCTGCTGAATTAGGCTATACGATTGCTATTATTTCACAATAATGTAGCCATAAATCCAAAGTAGACTTTCATACAATTAAACAAAGAATTTTGGTATGCCACAGACATTAGTTATGGTTTCACGCGTTTGATAACCTCCTCTTAATATAGTTAACTGTGGCAAATCCGAAAACTTCGTCAAACTATTACAATCTCCGAATGACGCCAGCAGGACCAGGTAGGTATTTTCCACAATAAACAAATTTCCAGCTACACCAAGCAGCCATTTCTTCGATGAATTTCCTAAATAACATTGATAAGTTACAGCGCCATAAGAGTAACAGGTTTGGCAATACAATCGATGCCCTTTCTGGCAATACACTGATGTATTTGTTCTGGTTTCTTCAATTTTGCTTTTTCTGTTTATTGCCCTAATATTGGCAGACTGTGCAACGAAAAGCATGTCCATTATTTTAACCGCAGAATCTCTGGACGAAACGGTAAATAAACATCGCATGTCATCATCCTTCGTCCAAATTTCCGAGTCATTATTGTAATTTATAAAACTCGAATAGCCTGAACTGAAAGCAGAAATGGTATTGCCTTCTGTGACTACGACGAATGCGTTATTTTGTAAAAAATCCTTGACACCAGGTAAATTTTCATTCCACTGGTTGGTTGAGGCATCATATAAAGCCATCCAATCCCAGTTCACCACATAAATGTAGTCTTCTGTAGTTGTCACCTTGGTATCACCATCAAGTTTGTGACTAATCATTGACTTTTTCTCAATGAACTGTTTGGATTTGTTCATGTAGTACAATTTGTTTCCAGTGAGAAGCCATAACTTGCAGTTGAAGTTGACTATCTGACTACATTCCAGCTTTAACAAACATGGAATCTCAATTGTTGCTTTTGTTTCTAAATCTAATAGAAAAATGTGGCCATCGGAATACAGGAGAGCAATGTAATACATGCTATAATCTTTTTTTTTTTTTAAAACTTCATTTAAGATTAGTTTTAAACATTCTGGATTTTCTCCAACTAGACTGTCTTTAGCGATCACGTTTTCGACGAATGTAATTGGCAGATTTTCATACTTGATTGTTTGCATAAACTCAACTAAAGCCGATTTGCGTTCTGCTAAGTCATGTTTAATCCAAGTCATAGTTGCAAACCATTTCCACTTTTCATTTGTCAAACACTCTTTCTCTTCATCTATGAATATTGACATGAGCTCTTCTTTAGTTTCCAATTTAAATTCGTTTTTTCTTGAAAGTCCCGCAAAATGTGAGGTTTTATATTTGGAAAACATTTGTCTGATTTGCTTTGGAACAAATCTAAATTCTTTTGCCATTTTTTCTAGAATATAGAAATTATCAACGCTGAGATTTACTTTAAAAATATCAATATCTGTGAAAACATTTTCAAATACCAGGTCTGTGCACTGTTTGTCATCTTTGAATATTGGTTCATTCCAAACCGCTTCTAAAAACACGTAAGACGGAAAATCCTTCCAGCTTAATTGATTCGAGATTTCATATATGAACTCTGAACGATGTTTAACGTCATGAGTAACCCAATGTATCAGACAATTCCATGCAATCATGTTTGTGGAGAATCGTTTTTTTCCAATGTACTCGGTAAAATCAGTCTTTGACATCTCTAATAAATCAGAAACATTCTCAACGTAATACGATTTCTGTAATGTTAAACGAACCTTTTCTTTCATTTCAGTGATGCTGAATTTTTCAACGATCAATGAAATTTGTAGACAGGTTAGATCGTTTAAATTATTTTCCAAAATTTCCACACACGGGTATTTGAGCTTATGAAGTTGCATAAGTTCTGTCGCTTGCAATACATCCTCAATATTTTCAATATTGATTGAAACATCATTCACCTTCCCAGTGTACATAAACTCAATACATTCACCAACTAAACTTGGGTTTACATCGTTCATATCCACGAATCCTTGCTGGTTTTCTTTAGTGTCGTGAGATAACATTGCTCGGAAATATTCCGACTTAGTCATGATCAAGTCGCGATGAACCTCAAATGATTGTTCACCAACATTGATTGTAAAATCAGTCGGAACTCCCGCTTCTCTAAAGTCTTTTTGTGGTTCAGTATCATTTTCGCTTGAAGTTGTTTCATTGTCGGAAGTTGGATTTTCGGACATTCTAAATTTAATGTTTCAACAAAACTATTTTGATAGAAAATACTTTAATACTTGGTTTACCTGTAAAGTATGGAAGTTTTTAAATTATTAGAACAGCTAGCCATAGATGGTGTCGTTTTTTAAATATATTTTCTTTACCAAAAAAAAAAAAAATTCCCTTAAAACATCTTTTTTAATTTACTACTATACATGATTATGCACTTTGAATCACGAACTTGATATCTTTACAACCAGCAGCAGTTCTTTTGGTTATTGCTATTAAAAACGGGTTTATTTCAAAAACACGTTGAAAATACGTGGATGAAACGTAAATATTCAAGATCAAATCTCATCATTGTTTTAATTTTTATTTAGCTTCACGTCCCCTCAAAAATTTGTCTACGCCTCTCCACCCCCATGTAAGAACCACTGATTTATAAATAAAGCACACATTTGAATTGCTGTTACACATGTTAACAGCTGGCCGGCCTCATTTTCGAGATATTGGAGTGCTAGACACGCCGTTCCTCACCATTTTTGTTTTAACCCTGCTAAAACGCTTAAAAACAATGAAAAACCGTCTAAAAACACCAATAACCCTGCTAAAACACTTAAAAAAAGTGATAAAACGTCTAAAAACTCCAATGACCCTGCTAAAAAGCGTATAGCTATTGAAAAGCGCAAATGTGACTATACATAAAGCTATAAAGCTCATATTATTATAAACACGCACTCGTAATACGGGTGAATATTACGGAATGTTAATTCCGAAAACATATACAGTATTGGGAGTGAGTAATAAATACTTTTCAATGTGTGTTACGTACTTTCGTTACACTGATAACACAACATCCTGAATCCTTACTCGATCTACCCCTCCCCCAGTACATCAATATAATTTATACGGCACTCCACAAACAAAATTATACGCGCTTCTATTGTGCGGAGACGATTCATAAACATAAAAGTTACAAAAGGCTACATGGTATAACAAATGGTTCGAATGTAAGGTGATATCAATAGTCTGACGTAGAATGTGCCTCAGTACGTAAGTCTGTTACTCTCATCAAACATTCGTGTATTTAATTTACAAACTTATTTGACTGCGTTGCAACAATTGGTTTACTTTTATCGTAATGAAATTTGAATTAATATAATGCAAACTCTTGAAAGCCTTCGCATAACCCAAAGAAATAGGCCACACGAAATAAAACCAACACTGCATATCAGTATTCAGGCTGAACTAAAATACAAACATTGCGGTACCTTGTGCTGCTAACCACAGCACATTCCCCTAATTATCCCCGTTGGATGAAATGGTAGACATTGTTATCGACAGCTTTTCTTACGTATTGAAATATGAATCGAACAAGATTGATATTTACCAACATTTCACAATAATTCAATACCCGATTAAGTATAACTAGAAATGCTATTCAATGAAAATCACAATTTTCATTGAATAGCCTTTCATCAATCCTCATCGCTTTTAGTACTTGCAAATTGATTGGTACTGAGGGGCTGAGAATTGATAATATTTACTTGATTTGTTTTTACATAATTTTTGCAAATTTAATTTGCCATATATAGCGATTAAAGTTTGCACATTTTCTTCCTCGGGTAGAGTGGCGCTAAAGGATAATTTGTTACGTTCATTCAAATTTGTGTTTCCTTTACAAATTACGGGCGTTTCAGAAGTATTTGTACCAATATTGGGGTAAACTAATTTTGTTAGCCTACTTCACCTACTACGTTGTGTGAAGGGACTGAAACCTATGCGGTATATTAAATTGACTGACACAGACAGTCAACGATACGTAAAATCTCTCTTCTTATTTTGGTCGAGCGCACAGAACAACTTGTTAAAATTTTACCATTAGTAACTCGGTCGAATAAAAATTTTCCTTAACAGCTGATAGCAGTAATAAGAATTTTGATGGCGTACTAGCTGTTATTCGTCAAGAGAAATTCTCTTTCGCTTTGAATGTTCACTTTTTAAAAGTGAATATTTGAAAACTTTCAAGGCTAAACTGGATATCATCTTGAATATTCAAAAACTCGATGGCAATTATACAAATATGTCATAGGTAATTGCAAAGAATAAATCTTGCGGACCTCAAAAATGATATTTAAAATATACAAATTTGATTGATATTTATATTATTAGTCAAATCCCAATTAAATATTACATTATTTTTCTAATATGGCCGCCTACCATTTACTGCCCAACAGGGCCTCATCGTGTCCAGCGTATTTCGTTTACTCTCTCACCCAGCTTGCTGTGCTGCCGACCAAGAATATGAAAATTTCAATTCTTGCAAGTTGTTCTCCAACACAGTGACGAGGACCGACGGAGAATGGGATCACGTGATTTGATTTGATGAATTCGCCATCATCGTCGATGAATCTCTCAGGTCGAAATTCTTCAGGGTTTTCAAAATATTTGGAATAGAAATGAACAGCCCAAATATCTGGACTGATCTTGAAACAGAAAATATAGTTTAACGTTTTGTTAAATTCTCATTGAAGGTAAAATCGGTCTCAAAATATTTTGTGCAAAATGAGATAAAATTTTTACAATAAATTCATATTACTCAAGTAAATTATTCAATTTACTCGCCATCCACTATATTGCTAACTCAAACGCAGTTTATTGCTCAAATGTATAACAAAACCTACCGTGGTATTTTTTGGGATAGTATATCCATTGAGAATCACTTCTTCGTTCGTTTTATGAAATACACTAGGAGGCACCAAAGTTCGGTGTCTCATTAGTTCTTGTATGGAAGCACAAGTGTAAGGCATTTCATCTCGATGCATCATAGTGGGTACCCCGTCCGAACCTGTAGAAAAACCCAGTTTTGATGAGCGACTTGTTGGCAGCTCATTTCTTATGCTTTATTGTTACACTGTGTTTGTAGCAAAAAAAATAAATTATGTGTATTCGTCTCTTTTCTATACCTATCTATTCCGTACATACAGTTACATAATAATCATATAAATAATCATATATACACAATAGAATCTGAATTTTTCGAGGCACAGCGAGTAAAAAGTAAATTCTTTCACAATTTCTATCACCTGAATTAGAAAGAGGGAGATATGAAAGTCAAGCATTTATTCCTATTTTACGAATTCCCTCTGGGGTTCTCCGTCCACGTCAAATAGTCTTATTTCTGCGAATTTTGCGCCACCAAGGATAGTGTTTATTCGATATGTAGTATTTGAATCTTTGAATAAAAGATTTTTCCGTGGGTCTACGGTGTGTAAATTGACCTTCGTGGCCATATTGTGAGATCAGACCAAGACTTGGAGCCGCTGATACGTAGTATATCGTTCATTTGTTACCATTTGTTGTTTGTTTGATACTCTTATTCATCATTACTCCCATTAATGAAAATTATTTAAATGTAGTGATTCCATTATACTTGAATTAATTTGGCCGCTGGCTAACACATAAAAACGCTATGACGATTGGAAGTAAAATAATACATAATAGAATATAAAATAAAATGATAAATGAAAGAATTACCCAAAGTTTTTTCAATTTCGTCGGCAATTTTTTCTTGACATTCTGAGTAATGTGCAAAATTGCTCAACATAAAGTATTGCTTGGTTGTTCCTGTTCCAGCATCAATTAAATACCCGATGTATTGAATAAGTTGACGTTTCTGAAAGTATGCGAAGATTTATGATAGAGAACATAGTAGTTCTGAACCTGATAGAACCTAATAGTTCTGATGTTGGTGTAATATGTGATTCACATGTACAGGGTGACCACAAAACGGAACCCTGGTCCCGGGGCGTTTGAAACATAATGCTGTATGATTCATCCTGAACATGTAAATCACACTCCAAATGCTGCAATCTTGGGTAGAATTACATGAACCTGGAATCACGAGTCATCCGAGTCTCAAGTCAAGTACGGGTTCAAATTCGAATCATCTACTTAGTTTAGTCTAAAAAGCGGATAGTGGATAACAATGCCCTGTCAGGCCATTTGGATTACGTCACTTGGAGTCTTTGATAAATGAAGTCTCGAGTCCAGCGCCAATCGATCTATGACATACATGCCACAGTTTGGAAAAATTAGTCTTATATTGTTGTATTCTCGTGTTGTTGCTCAAGCAAGTGTTCCAAGCATTGATATGACCTCACAATAAACTATAATGAAAAACGGGGACTTTTCACGACGTCTATTTACCATGAGATATTTTCTCCCAACTCTGCAGAGCATACTATTCATTGGCAAGTGATGAATACGTTTGAATTGTATTACATGTTTTAATTGTGGCTTTACCTATTCAGAATTTATTGTTCAACTAGGAAATGATATGGGTAGGCTATACATATGCCCAATATAAACGTAAAATGATTCCATTGAGGCATTTTAATATTAAATAAAATAAAAAACTTTTTCTAATCAAATGTCAAGTAAAATGATGAAGTTTTCAAATTGCAAAAAAAAAATAGGTTTTCATGTGTATTCCGGAGGACATTGTGGACATCCTGACTTATATTACAATATTGCATTGAATTATTCTTTACTATACCCGCCGATACTCAGTGCCATGCGTAATTGTATGAGCTATATTGGATAAATATTTGGTACTAGTATGTGATCCAAGATGGCGGATAAGGTCAGGGTTAGGCCATAGTTTCATGTACAAATGCTACGGGAGTCATTTGGCTAGTCCCCGAACTCGTAATAGAACTAAAATAAGAAAAATTAGAATAAAATTATCTCCTAACCCTTATCTGATACACACACTACGTACGGTGTTCGCTATCTTGCTGCACATACTACGGGAGCGCCACAAATTTGTGATGAAAGCTTCATTATTCTATTTGAATTTATCCCAAGCAGAAAGCTATGTTTCATTCCATCGATTTCTAAAAAAATTACTGGCAATTTCTAAAACCATTTGAACAAACAACAATTATTGGATTTACTTTAGAGGCATTCCGCGCCCGGTATCGGCATATTTGGCAGACAATGACATTGTTTACCGGAACCCTTTCTCCTTACTGTCATATGACTAAACATCTTGTTTTGCGCTATCATGTGATAACAATCGCGAAACGTTGCATCTTTTACAACTGACAATTGCGCCAAGTTTGCCAAAGAATTAGATCGAAAGATATGTCATGTGAGAAGCGGTAATAAAATTTTGCCACGTGAGCAAATTGACCTTTTGTTATAGAATGGGAACCGATTCGAAATTCACTTCACGTCAAGTTGAAGGAAGTCCGAATTTCAATGTTCTTTAAGTTCCTTCGTTTACTGTCATGTGAGAACGACGCTATAGTTTAACAAATACTGCAATTTTTGTGGTGCAATGGGTTCGTCGAAGGGACATTAAACTGTTAGGTTTGCTCAGTATTTTTACGGTTCCATATACATGTGTCAGTGCTCGAACAAGCTCTAATAAAAACAACAATTCTGGCATCGCTATTTGAAGATTTCGGTTTTAACCCTATTATCTGCCGACTTGACCAGGTCGGGCAAAGACAACTTGAACTTCAAAAACTGAGGAGCTACTTTTTAAAGCAGATTGTAGCATAGAATTTTTTGGGCTTGTAATTCAAATATCTCATGAAATTGTGCTAGTTTCCATACATGACTTCACTTTCTCGATTGTTTTAGAACTCTTGCTTTAACACAAATTCATATTCAAGAATGCAATTATCCGCACTTAATCATATAAACTTACGTTGAAACTTTTATGCAGCGAATGCATAAAATTCAATGAATAACAAGTAAAGAATTACAATGAAAAAAGTGAAATAGTGAGATAATTGAACGATGGCAAATATCGAATAAGGTAAATGTGTTCGGTAAAAAACAAGTACCATTCATCGACTTGGTAAACTGTTGTTTCTATGCAATCGCGCTTGCTATTGTTTATGCCTGATGTTCATGTTATATCGATATGACGATCCTGTTGCAGCATTGAATTGCAGCGTCACAATGCTATACACTTACAGTATTCTCGCCAATTAAAATTCAACGGCTTCAAGGTGGGGAGAAAAAGACAAAAATTTATATGAGCCGAAGCGTAACATGTTGAAATCAGAGCAATAACAGTTTGATATATACTGCTCATATTGAGACCATACTAATGAATAATATGTAATTTATTCGCTTACGCTTTAAAAGTTCAATCAGCTTCTTGAAAGTGCAGGACGAGACTTCTGAATATACTTATATATAGGGTGTGCATAAAGTCTTGAAATTTTTCAAAATTGCAAAGAGAATTTATCGATAACAAATATTGTTTTGACCTTCACAGATGTACTAAATGAAGTAAAAATACCTAAGTTTAAAATAACAGCAGACCTGGGTATAATATATTGAGAGCTAACCTCATAACCAAATTGAAATTGTAAATGGACTTTATGAACACCCTTCAAAACACTTTTCCCCGCAAGTTCCTAACGTCATTCACGTTAGTACGTGCTCGTGAAGCGACCAACGACGGGTAAACGACACACGGGGAAATTTACGCATCACATCGAGCCTCAAAGTCTGTTCGCCTAAAACACACAATAGGCAGTGTTATTGACGTTTAATTGCAAAAAAATATGAAAACTAGTAATGGCAAAAAAAAAGCAAAATTTGTCTGATTAACAACAGCCAATATGCGGTGCGTATGTTTGCATAGGCCCCTGTTGGCGTATTATTGGCCGGTTCATAAGACCGCACGTTCACAGTTAAAAGCCATTGAAAAGCAGTATCATGTGATACCGTGGGTATACTATTACGAAACCCTGTTAAAAAAACATATATTTTAATGTATTATAATATTTCTAATCCGAATCACACGTTAACGTTTTAGCTAGGACTAAGACTTTATTTGCATATGACGCGTAGCGCAGAGCTCAAATAGACCTTAGTCATTCAGAACCCATCCTAATCGTAAAAATAAAATTGGCGTAAACAAAACAATATTAACATTGGCTCTTATGGGGAATGTGATCACCAGGGCAGAAATTAGTATTTTTTGTGATTTTCTAGGTATCTTTGGTTGTAATCATAGCCACGGAGATCGCTGACCGGGTGACCAGCTTTCTGAAACTTGCAAGTCCAATTTGTTTTGTTGCTTCTCCAATGGCAACAAAACATCAATCTGGACTTTCGGTGACAAGTTAACCACGTGCGTAATTTTATCCAGATCGGTCCAGTCGTTTATACGATACATCTGCACTCACACACGCACACACACATACACACACACACATAAGTTGACAATGAGGGGCTACCATGACGGAATATAGCTGGTAATCTATGAGGCATTTCGTAAGTTCATTGAAATAGATTGATTTATAAAACAATTCCAACACAGTTCATTTGTTGTATAAATATAATACATATTGCATACCGTACGTAGCCAGAACTAGTTTTATCACGTACGTCTAATAATACAATAGAATGCGTCATTCAAAAGTACAGATCAAAATTCACAAACCCAACGATAAACAATTACTTGCAGACGCAACTTCCTACTTCCAGTACAATTCCCATGTATCATTTCCAATGGGAGTTACAGCAATACGAACCAATTGCTACACTCATAAGTTATTTTCGAAAATTTAGAGAGGCATACGGAGTAATTTGGTGAACGTGGTTCTACTTAGAATCAGTTATGTATTAGTTGGATCACATTATTTTACAATATAAATCTGATAATTTATTGAGAAAAATGTTGATATCTTAGAGGAGAAAAAAGACGATCTGGCTATATTTACCAGTCTAGGTTTGGTATAGACGGATGGATGGCTGTAGTAAACTTGTACTTTTTAAAATATACCTATGGAATCCTATATTTACGTATAAAATTGGCTGTTCTTTTTATTTAAATGAAACATTATTGTTCCGCATTCCTCCGTCGTCTACTTGTTGCTTTTCTGAAAATCTTCCCATCAAACTCATTGCTCTTAACTCTAACCTTTTTTGTAATTTGTAACCTCTGTGCCACGTATTTTAAGAATGGATCTCTTTTTAAATTTAGTTTCCATACACTTATTTGTAGCTTGTTTGTTGGTGGAAATATTTCACACTATTTCTCTGCAAATCAAATTTAAAGAGATACACCAAGACACATTTAATTATGCAGAAACTATCTTTGCTTCTGATAGCAGGTAAGCTTACTGTTTTCATCAAATGAATCATATGTGTGTGAGTTACCCAATTCATTTTGATTCTTTTTTTTTGCGAATTTTCTCAGTATGATAGCATTCACAATTCGTGAACATATTTTAAAAATCTGAGACGGTTTGTTTGTTGTACTAGAGAGTCCCCCCTCCTCCCCAAAAAATCTAGTTTACTGGAAAAATATTTTATAGAGCGAATAACTTTTGTGAAAAGTGTTATAATATAGTCTACTAAAACTTTTGGGTACAATCATATTCAAACTGAAATTCAAGTGTTATATAAAGTACTTCGTTTTTGTGAAAATAATTAAGAAATTTATGGGTATTGCTTGTTTTATATCATCTGCATTAACAATATCTGACTCGCAATATAAATTTATTTTATTCAACATCATCATTCCATTTAAAATGATTTCTCAGTTTATTTCCGATTTGATAATAAATATTTATCTGCTGGGGCGTGGGTCATGTAATAGGTTCGTAATTGGGAAATCTCAGATTTTCATCATGACCAGTTAATTAATTACTCGATACAAACAGACAGGATGTAATAAGTTAGGTAAATTTAGTCGAATGATCTAGTGTTAAATCTAAAGAAAGAAATATTAACTTCAAAATGATTCGCGAAAAATTCAATCATATGGTATTTACGCAATATTATTTTTTTTTGGTCGCTTCGACTTCTTCTCACCTTTTTTTCGATATTGCGTAATATACAATTATAAATTATCATTTTATAGAGCTAGCCTGTAAGATAGCGTACAGATGATTTAACCCATTACTACACCCTGGTACGTATAGCTAAGAATGTTTGTCGGTCTGACTTGTCATTGCAAATTGTCCAATTCAATCAACCTACATACGACATGTACTGTTGTAAATTAGTAAGATAATCTGGAAAATCAAAATTGCTAGAAC